TCCTTCGAGGAGGGAATAAAGAAAATATGGAAGATAAATGGAGTGAGTCCGACCTCCCATGTGTGGTGCTAAACAAGGACAAAAGTCATGAGTCTAAGTTAATATAAATCTTGGATATTAACCGAAGAGAAGATGTAAAAGCAAATTGTACTTATAGTTATGAGTCTGAGTTAACAATTGTTTCAGAGAATTATTGGCAAGTAGATTTAAAAGTAGAATGTATTATTTGCTACAATAGCATTTCATAGACTATAATGGTTTTCGAAGTCTTTTTTTTTTGTTCAAAATTATGGTTTTGTGGTTGGTTTGAGCATTTGAGAATTGCACACAAAGTTGCAACTAGTGCATCAAAATTCCATAATTGATTAATGCTTATGCCATGACTTTGAATTTTGTTTCAATCATAATTATCAACAACTTTGCTGGTGGTTTTATGGGAGCTTCAAATTCTTCGGTCGGAGTTTTTTCATGGGAATCCTGCAGATAATGTGTACCATGAGTTCGATCACTTCACAGTGATTGCCACATATCATTCTTGGGATGATGCTCGACATTTACATGAGTTTCCCACGTGTCTCCAAGGAATGGCACTGCAATGGTACAATGGTTTGAGTACAGCCACTCATAGGGATTAGAGTAATCTCCCATACATTTTCAAATGCACATTTGGACATGCCAATGATTGTGATAATGCCTTCCAACAATTACATTATTTTCATCAAGGGCCATTGGAGTTGATTATGCAATTTAGTGTTCGTTTCTAGAGCCTCTTGCTTCGTATGGAGCCAAATATGTTAGAGCGGATCAAGCTAAGAATGTTATAGCTAACACTTTGTCAAGATCTTGTAGAACTTGTGCATGCACTAGCTCCAGCCACTTTTGACGATGCCCTTCACTTAGCACAACATTATGAAATATTGCCTCTTCCACTTCTCATTACATGTCCTTCAGCTCCACTTCTTGTGGGAGATGGTCCTATTCCAATGGAGGTTGATGCTGCTACTGCTCAAGTTCAAGCACAAGGGCGAGGACATGGTTGTGGTTGTGATGTTCGTTGTTGAGCATATGATGAAATTAGTCACATTTATTGGCGTTGTCAATGTTTTTTAAATTACATGGAGATCTTGCTGTCAACAATGTTCTGTTGCTGCTGCTACAATGAAAGGTCTGGACACTGAGATATATATAAGAAATGAGGAGCCATGTGAATAACAAAGCGCAAATAAATCAGTGACCCTTCCATCTTTCTTTTGAGAGTATTATTAAGGGGTTCACTCAATACTAGTTCATCAAGTGTTTACTTTCCAAGCTTGTTTTTATATCAAGAGGTCTCCTATTATTCAAGTTTATCTTCTATTGCTTGACTTGTTGCCACACGTTGCAATCTACATTTGCATCATGTGGTGGAGCCAGTTTTCATTCTTTATGGCAATAGTCATACACATATATGTGCACGAGATGAGGTGGAATTTGTTGTGTATATGGGTAATCTCAAGATTGGATTGTAGTCATTGCAAGTGGTGCCAAATCAAGTTTTTGACCTCATCCTTGGTATGGATCAGTTCAAGCGCAATTATATCAAGTGTGATTTTGAATCTTCTCCCCCTTATCTCATCTTTTCTTATATTTCATCAATTCCTCTCACTTTTGTACCTCTTAGTCCCTTTGCTTTTACCTCTACTTCCATTATTTTTGTCTCCCTAGTACTTCCTCCTATGTTTCTATCTTGTTCTGCTCTTTCTTTTTCCAATCCCTCTAATGGTCTTTGTGTTGTAGTGGTTGACCAACTCATGAACGAGTATGCCAATCTCTTTGAATTTGACCTATCGTCTGGGGCAAGATTGCCACACATCATCTGATTCTAACTGGCGATGCTCGTCCAATCAAAGTTCTTGTTTGTCATCAATCACCTAAAAGATCAAAATTTTATGTGCAAACATCAAAAAAATGTTGGAAAAGGGTGTTATTTGACAGTTGCGAAATCCTTGGGCATGTGAACTTCATCTTGTGACGAAGTCTGATGGGAGTATTTGTTTTTGCATCGACTATCATATATTAAACAAAGTGATGATCCCTGATGTGTACCCTCTTCCTCACACTATTGATCGTTTGGATCATTTGGGGAGAAGTCATTGGTTCATCAAGTTAGATCTTACTTCTGGGTATTGGCAAGTACCAATGGCCAAAGAAGATATTCCTAAGACTGCTTTTTGTACACTATTTTGTTTGTACAAGTTTTTGGCGATGTCATTTGGTTTGAACAATATTCTAGTAACTTTTTAGCAGATGATGGACGAGGTTCTTTGCAATATACCGGAGATGATTACTGACTTCATTGATGATATCTTGATCCTCTTGGAGGGGACATAGGAGGAACATATCTTTAATGTTCATAAAGTGTTGAATTAGTTATGGGATATTGGTTTAAAGTTGAAGTAATTAAAGTGCGTGTTTGGGTCCAAGGACACGACTTATCTTGAATACCGTTTCCTTGTGAAGGTTTGCAAATTGATCCTGCCAAACTTATTGTTATTCTAAAGTTCCCTACTCCGAAGTGTGTGAATGATATGCAGCACTTCCTGAATAAGGTGCAATATCTTGGTTATTTTGTGGATCATCTTTCTAATCATACTTCACCGTTGTAAGCATTGCTAAAGTCATCAATGTTATCTTTCATTTAATTTGCGGATTGTCAGCGAGCATTCATAGATCTCAAAGAGCTATTGACGACTCCTCCAATTTTGGTGTATCCTGAATACACTCGACATTTCATTTTGCACATGGATGCTTCTGATATTAATCTTGGAAGTGTGTTAATGCAAAAGAGCCTGAGTGTGCCTGGTCAACACCATCCTATTATATACATCAGCTATACATTATAACTAGTGGAGGTGAACTATTCCATGATAGAGAAGGAGTGTTTAGTAGCAGTCTAGGGTTTCAAAAAACTTCATGCATATCTACATGGTTCTTGAATGTTACTAAAAGGTGATTATGTTACCATTATTTCATTATTGAAACGAAAGAACCTGGTTGGTCATACTACTCGATGGGCTTTGAAGCTTTAGATATATGATTTTGATGTTATTCATCGTCCAGGAGTTTTATGGTTAATGTTGATACCCTTTCTCAAGCTCATTTTCCTTTTTTGCTCTCTTTTCATATTTTTTACGAGTCTATTGTTCCAGCATCTATGGATTTTCTAGACAAGGATTCTGTGTTGTTGGTAGTTGTTGTACTTAATGTTTAGTGTCCACAAGGTGCAAAGCAAAACTTACCTTCTCTTGATGAGGTTTGCGAAGTGTAAGAGATTGAATTATGAATTCAAAGGCTCAAAATAGGTTTGAGAATTTTACATCACTTATTGATGATTTGCTATTCCAACATTTATATTCTCAACATCACTTTGAAGACAACATTTTCTAGTTTTGGGGATGGATCCTGATAATCATTTAAGGTTGGTGGTGCTTTCCATCTTCATTCCACAGTTTCTCCATACCTACTATGATTTTTCTATTTTAGGTGGGCATATGGGATATTGTTGGGTGACCAAGAAACTGCACAGGTCTTTTTATTAGGTGGAAATATAACATAATGTTATCCAGTATATATGTAACTGAGTTTGGTGCCAAGTTCGAAATATTCCCCCTTGTGATGTGGAAGGATGGTTGGAGTCAATTACAATTTCTTATCTGTTTGAGTTAGTGGCATTTGATTTTTTGGGACCTTTTCTACCATCAACTATTAGCAATGAGTATGTTATTATTATTTTTGATTACTTGACTCATTAGGTGGAAGTTAATGCTTTTGTTAACACCTTTGTAACTGTTTTTGGATACTTCTTCCTCAATCAAGTGGTGTTCCAACATTTTTATCCAGATCAAATTGTTCAGATAATGGTCCTGTATTTATGGCTGAGGCATTTCATGTTTTAATATCTCAATTAGGGATACGCCACACTTTCACAAGTGCTTATCATCCACAGTCAGACGGTTTGGTGAAACAGCTTGTTCGGACATTCAAAGGGATGATCACGAAGTATGTGAACTTTCAGAATTCAAATTGTGATGGTTATTTACTGTCTCTTCAATATGCATATACCACAAGGGTGCAAGGTCTTGTTGGTGTTTCACCATATAAACTCTTATATAGTCATAATTCAATATTACCAACGGAGTTAGGTTTACCTTTGCGATTGTTACGAACTGTTAATGCTAGGTTGTAAGATCAGTATTTGACAAATATTCTTCCACTTGTCTGAACAGAGTTTGCCAAACACCTAAGCAGTATATAAGTAGGACAACAATAAAGCTACAACTCCCATTATCGTCCAACTATAGAGTACAAAGTGGATGACTTGGTGTTAATTTATTTTCCCCATCTTACAGTACAAGATTTATCTAAGGGGCTTTTTGCTCATTGGAAAGGACCATATCGGGTGTTGTGACAAGTTCGACCACAAGTTTATGAGGTTTAATATGATGTCTAGCAAGCCAATCCTTCAGAAATTGTACATGTACAATAGTTGAAATGGATTGTATGTTTCGTATAAAAGGATCAAAAATAACTAATAGCACTTATAGATTCATTAATGCCTCCTCTAAATGTTCCTTCAAATCCTAGCCCATCTACAAAAGAATTTTAATGGTTTTCCATTATTCCAAGAGGAAAGGATGATGCAAGGACCAAGTGTATGGCTACAATGTTATATATTAATATTAGTATAATGGGATTTTGGTAGCCATCAGATTTTCAATTTAGATCATTCACTCATGTATTCCTTTTCCATATTCCATGCACTCACAATATATTATTTTGAATATTACACAAATTTCAGCATTTAAGAGACCTTACTTAATAAACTTAAATTGTCGGTGATAAAACCATCTCACGTTTATTAGGCTTGTTGGATATACCACCATCGTCATCAAAGTTCAAGAAAAACAAACTAGCTGAGAGCTACCGAAAGCATAAATAAGAGCTCTCATCGCTTTTGGAGATGCAAGCCATGGCAAAGCTTGGAGCTCTTGTAGCGTTCTTCCCCTTCTTGGTTGCTCCCTTTCTTGCTCGTGAACTTCCTCCAGTTGCTACACATCTTAACAATGCTACTGGTTCATCTATTCTCCTTCTGTTAGATCTGAAACGTAACATTTGCTTTTGGTGGTTTTTCCAACAGGAGATTCTCATTCCAAGCTCAAGGGCGAGGACAATTACTTTGCACTGGTAATCTACTACACCGAAGGTCCCTTGACGCTCTACGTCGCAAACTCGTGGCTTGGATATGGGAAATGGGTCCGTGGAAAGAACGATTTCACGGAGATTGGATCTCCCAATGGTCTCACCATGACAGCGTGGGGCGAGTACCACATCACTGCGAGTGGGAGGAGCTGGTCTCCCACTGGTACCGAGGGCTCCTTTGATGTTTACTCGAGCGATGGTCAGAGGGTCTTGTATGTCTACTGGGACGTTGTTTACGCTGGAATGGGGGAATGGAAAAGAACCGTGTTTGATAGCCGGTTCCAGGCGACGGCGACAAGGATTGGGGAATCTCATCTGGACGTGACTCTAGTGATCAAGTCCGTTGCCGGTGAAGCTATTGCTTGAAAGCGGATCTATCCATCTAAATAAACTTTTCCTGGTGTTTTAATTGTCTTTTGACTTCGCAAGATCTGGCAAAGGGAATAGAAAATGCGTGCTCTGGAGGAAGCCAGGAAAATGCTTAACAGATCTTGACTATGTTCTGAAGTGGCGAGAGAATGGAGAGCACTCGGTCGGGCCGCCCCAAGAAAGTAATACTCTGTTTTTGGTGAGTGGTTTCCCACGTTTCTCAGACTTGAACGAAGCTGGGCATTTTCAATTCGTTACTACAGCCCGTCCTCTTTCACCAGCATAAATCTTGGAGCTCCCTTCTTCTTGCTCTTGTTCTTCTTTGTTCTTTCTTGGGTTGTCAAATTGCTGCACACTTCCCTGGGTAAAGCATTTTTTCGACAGGAGAATCTCGTATCGAGGACAATTACCCATGGCCCCTAGTCACAAATTCAACTACACCATCAGGTCTAATACGCTAATAATCTAAAATTTTCCTTGATAAAACCATCCCACGTTTATCAGGTTTGTTGGATATACCGGCATCATCATCGATATCCAATCCTATTCAAAACTGAGAGTTGGCTACGTCTTCCACCACAATATCTTTCAGAGATGCAAGCCATGGCAAAGCTTGGAGCGCTTGTAGCGTTCTTCTCCTTGTTGGCTACTCTTTCTTTGGGTCGTGAACTTCCTCCAGTTGCTACTCATCTCAACAATGTTACTGTATTCTCTTTCTATTTGATCTGAAACGTAACATTTGCTTTTGGTGGTTTTTCCAACAGGAGAATTGCTCAAGGGCGAGGACAACTACTTTGCACTGACAATCTACTACACCCAAGGTCCCTTGACACTCTACGTCGCAAACTCGTGGCTTGGATATGGGAAATGGGTGAACGGTTACACGGAGATTGGATCTCCCAATGGTCTCACCATGACAGCGTGGGGCGAGTACCACATCACTGCGAGTGGGAGGAACTGGTCTCCCACTGGTACCGAGGGCTCGTTTGATGTTTACTCGAGCGATGGTCAGAGGGTCTTGTACATGTATTGGAATGTCATTTACGCTGGAATGGGGGATTGGAGAGCCAGCGTCTTTGATAACCGGTTCAAGGTAACGGGGAATCTCATCTGGAGGTGACTCTAGTTATCAGCTACGTTGCCAGTGAAGTTATTGCCTAAAGTTTGTATTTCCACAAATAAACTTTTGAGTTGCATTTGTGTTCTTCGATTTATCTGCGTCGATTCGTCTAAAATATACGGTTAGTAAGGTATGGAAGAAAAACCCAAAATCTTATCTCTTTCTCATATCCATTCATTTGTTTCTCACAACGCCCACCAAGAAGCATGAGACCGACGGATTATAATGATGATCTCTTGATCTATTACTATTTCTTTATTCTCAAAGAAGGCAATGCCACTTTGTCTGTATAAAAGATGCCCATATTGTGGCCAGTTTTTAAAGGGCTGCCAAAGCTGGGCATTTTGAATGGCAACCAAACAAATTAGCTGATCTGTACTTAGATCCTCTTTCACCAGCATATAAAAGCATAAAAGACTCCTATCTTTCAGAGATACAAAGCTTGAAAGCTCTCTCTCTCTCTCTCTTTTTTCCTTGGGGTCGTGAAGATCACAATGCTATGCATCACAGTGCTACTTCTACTGGTTTGAAAATCCATCCTTGATTGATCTGTTGTTTACGCGGAGATGGTTCCAGGTGACGAGCCAAAGGGTTGGAGAATCTCTCTGGAGTTATCAAGTACAAGCTACTGCTTAAGAAATTCTTCTCGTGATCGAAGAGGTTTCATCTCAAAAAATCGAATAAAGATGGCTTGGTAGCTTGGTCTTGGGGTTTTAGGGTTTAGGAGGATGGTGGAGCTCACCGAGTCGCAAGTAGCCGCGGTCACGGCGCCCATTTCATGCCCGCTTATGATTCTTGCGGCCGCGGTAAGCTGCATTTGGGGTTTCTCGATTCGTCTTGATCGATGGTGGCAGGGATCAGGGAAGACGCTTGTCTTGTGCTATCGCATTCTTCATTTGATCCGGAATGTAAGTCGGTTTTCTTGCGAGGATTGGATTTATTGGCTTGCGTTTTGAGCAGGGTGTTCCGGCCAAGGAGATCCTTGCGGTCACGGTAAGGAAAGAAGGAAGAAAAATCAAAGCTTTGATCTCTCTTGTCCTTGTTCTTGGCGTGGTTTTGGTAGTTTACTCGTCGAGCTGGGCAAGATCTTCTCTCGAGGCTGAGGAAGCTTGGATCAAACAGCGGCATTTCCATCGAGGGTGTTCGTGTTGGGACCTTCCATTCGTTTTGCTTGTCGATTCTCAGGGCTGTTCCCTCGCAAGCAAAGTTGGCTCCCGACTTCACCATTTTCACGCCAAAGATGCAGGCAAGTTTTTCCCCATTTTTTTTCTCTTCTCATTTCCTGTTTTGTGGATGTTTTCTCCTATTCTTTTTCAGCTGGAGCTGCTGCAGGAGCTTGTCTACGAGTGGCATCTCATGAGGAGCAATGGCCAGAAATGCGAGGTTTGATCAAATGAAAAAACCATCTTCATTCGAACTCTTTTTCCTTTTTCTCTCGCAGGGATCTTTGAAGAAGCAGATCTTTAGGACCGAAGCTTATCGAATGATGAAACAGATTGGACAGATGCAAAGAAAACATGACACCGCTGCCTTGAACAGCGCCAAGGAAGGTGGTGGCATGCTTGACTGGGTTCTCGAGAGATACCATTCACACCTCCAAAACATCAATGCTATCGATTTCAACTCTTTTACAAGGCGTACCAACGATGTGCTCGAAAGTTTTCCAGGAATTCTGGACTCTTTGGACATGAAATTCCAGCATATCTTGGGTGAGCATGGATTTTTCTTCTCCTTCCTTTACGTAACAGCTTCTTACTAGTCGACGAGTTTCAGGATACGGACACCGGACAATTCAAGCTCTTGCAAGCGCTTGCTACGAGGCATCACCACGTTACAGTAGTCGGGGATGACGACCAGCAGATTTATTCCTGGAGAGGAGCCGCTGGAATCCAAAACTTCGAAAGCTTCTCGTCGACATTCGGTGGCGCCACTGTGGTAAAACTGGAACGGAACTTTCGCAGCACAGGTGCCATTGTCGCGGCAGCACGATCGGTGATATCGAGAAATGAAAGCCGGATGAGGAAGTCCATTGGAACCACGGCTCCGACGGGGAAGCTCGTCGCGATGTGCGAGTGTAGAAACGTGCTGTGCGAGGTTGCCGCCATCTCGAACTTTATATCGAGCTCGAGAGCAGAAGGGGTGAAGCTGAGCGAGATTGCAGTTCTGTATCGAGTCCATCGGGTCGGTGTGGAGCTACAGCATCACTTGCAGGCGATCGGTGTTCCGTGCAAGATGAAAGTCACAGGAGGAAGTGACGACAGTACAGTCTCAGCAAAAGGATTCAGCTCCACCGGTGAAGCTCTGGCAGATATACTCGGGGTCTTGAGGCTGATACTGAACGAGTCCGATGACTACGCTTGCAAGCGTCTGATGCTCCTCTTTTGTCCAGACGGTCGTTCGGAAGTTCTCTCGTGCGTGATGCAGCTCCAACAAGCAGGCTCTTCATCGCTGTTGCAGTCGCTCAAAACTCTACGATCGCATGTTCTGGGGATGAGCAAAGACAGTCTCTCAGCTCCGTGGATCCAGCCGGTTGTCGAAAAATTGGGAGTTTTGGTGAAAGAGGTGATAAAAGGAGCTCAGGTGCTGATGAAGATCATGGCTGACACGAAAGAAGAACTCCAGAGGCTTGGCATGAAAGATGTGGTGATGAACCTTCTCCAGCAGATTGGACCTTATCGAGAGGAGGCTCGAACGGCGAGTTTGCAGATTTCTTCCACGGCCAACTTGTCCGGAGGCTCCGACTTCGCTGGTATCAAAGCTTTGCTCAAGGAAGCAGCGGCCTTTGATGGTGACAATGCTTTTGTCATGGCCAAAGCATCAGCTCAAACTGGTATGTGGTTTCTTAGCTAGGACTTGGATGCTTACTCTTAAATCTCTTCATCCAGCGAGCAAAAGCAAGAACGCGAGTTACAAGGACATGAGAAGGCTGCAAAAGAGAGATCCTGGACAAGGCACTGTGCGGAGTTCCCAGTCGGACTTTAAAGATCACGCACAGCGATTACGAGTGTTTTTGGATCAAGTTGCGCTCAAACTGCACGAGTATGAGCTTGGCGAAGACAACAAGACGTTGAGTTCTCCGTCGGACTGTGTAACGCTTTCTACGATTCACCAGGTACAGCGAAAGAAAAGATCATTCTTTTACGTGGTTGTGCTGCACAGGCAAAAGGTTTGGAATGGCCAGCAATAGTTTTAGCTCGTGCCAACGAGGGAGTGTTGCCAGTCTTCGACACAGATATGGTTTCTGATGACCAAGACATTCTTGAAGAAGAGGTGAGGTTCCTCATTATCATTCTTCCTTGTGCACGCTCACTCGCTCTCTACAGAGAAGGCTTTTGTATGTTACGCTTACTCGAGCGAAGACCTCCATCTTGGTAACAGATGATGAAATGTGGATTCTTTTCTCACAATCTCAGAAACATTGCAGATCACGTATCTTATGAAAGACAGCGGGCAGCAAGCTCTTCCATCGCGCTTCCTGGCAGAAATTCCACGAGGTAACTTCCGCGTTTTATCGTTTCTATCTTTCCACAGCATTGTTTCGCAGGACTTGTCAAAAGGATTGTTAGCTACGATCACCAAGTGACCAACATCACAGCCACCACGAACACAATTGGAAGGAAGCGCGAGGAACGTGGATAGGCAGTGGACGCGAACGCAAGTGTTAGAAGAAGCATGCTAAAAGCTGACCATCTCGCAGAGCAGGTCAGCTTTGTGGCCAGGAAGGTTTTAGCATGAATCATTTTGCAAATTGGGAGGCATGATGAGTACAGTAGGTTCAGACTGATTGCAGCTGTATATTTATTTAAAAATTATAACGTGTTTATATTTATCTTAACTAATAATTTAATGTAGAAACTAACCATTATATAGTAAACAAAAAAGTCATTACTAGCATTAAACCTGATTAAAGAAACTGACTGCTTGGGATTTAATTTAATCTTAAAGCCCCGACGCAACAGACAACCTCAAAAAGCTTGTAGATCCAGCACTTGGCCCAGATTATCCTTTTCATCTGTAATTTGTAAACTTTACTAAACATTTTTGAATATATTCTAGTTTATTTTGGTTGAAAGATTAATCTTGTGCTTATAAATTATAAACATGTTTATAATTCTTGAATTAATATCAAACCTTTTGCAACTGCAATAAATTATTTTCTAACTTAGCCATGATATTTTCAGTTTCACAAATTATCTAGTAGTAACGTGACGCTGCAATTTTCTAATCGAAACCATACTTGACATTGCCAGGCAAATGGGGATCCTTTTTTGCACCGGATCAAAGGTAGCACACAATGAGTTGAGCATGTGAAGTGATGCGCTTCACTTCGGGTGGCACTGGGAGTTTTTGCTCAACTTGGGCATCTGGTGCGAGGACCAAATCCCGCACCCTATAGGATTCTCCATGACTGGTTTTCAATTTTATTTCTCTGGTCATGGAATGTTTTTGATTCTAAGCACATCACCCATCTGAAATCTACAAGCACACCTTGAGTGCACCCTGACTATGGCCAGGGACTTTGAGGACTAGAGCACCCTCTTCATCAAGCATTTCTGCTGGTACTGCCATGCTAAATGGATTTGCTAGAGCACTCCACTAGCTCATCATGTGCGCCAGGTATACTACCTGTTGTATAACCCAAGGGCAAGGACCACTGCTTCCTTCTGTGATCCATTCCAATTCTACCAAAAAATCAAACCTGTATCTGACATCTCGCCTCAAAACCAACGTGTTGAATATGTATAAACTCAGTAGAGAGAGAGCCCACCAAAAAATTGACATGGATAGGTCTTCATCAATTGTCTATTCACACAACCAATATTTTGGATGGAAGAAATTGAAATTGTCCATCTACAAATACATTCACCACTAAATCTTGAATCCAGAGATTCTCCTTGTTTGGTCTACAAGCAGGACCACTAGCACTAGTGTCCACGACATCTCGCGCATTGTCCCAAGGATCATCCAGCCGATCACATTTCTGTGCAACATCCGAGCGCTTCTGTAAGCGGCCATTTTGGACCATAAACACTACTAAACAAGCTTAAACACCATTTGCTTAATTATTAGAGAATATACTTACTGCGTCATGCATACATACATAAACCCAGTGTTCTTGATAGCTTTATTCATCATGCCTTTGAACCAGTGGAATGATCCCTGCTAGTGTTGATCAGACTGGGCAATGGAGCCATTCCATTCAGCAGCATCTCACGCCATGAGAGGTGAGGTACTTCGACATCATGCTTCCAGTAGTCTAGTGCTTTGTAAGTTTTGCTTGAATTGGCTTTGCTTTTGCAGTAGATTTTGTGAAATGAAAGATCTTAGCGAGGAAATTCGGTATGGTATGTGAGGTTTAGCTAGGTTGCACATCTAAGCTCATTTCTTTTTGTGGGAATTGGCTGGAGCTGGTTCGTCAAATCTATAGAGCTTGAAGTAATACTGATATTAAACACTGAATGTGTAAGAGTTCAATTAAAAATTACCATTTAATCTATTATTTAATGTTGGTTGCAAGAAAGTGAAATAGCGAACTGTTTTCATTCTTCTTTTGGTATAATTTGGAGAATATGATTGCGCTGGCCCTAATAACGTGTGGTTTGGAGAGTCGTGTGGATGGATTCTTCTTCCTTGCGGGAGAGCCTTATCGACGAGAATCCAGCGCGATCGGGCAAGGGCGGCTACGATCATGCCGGATTCTTGGCGAAGCTCACATTGTCATGGCTCAATCCCCTGCTCCATCTCGGATCTTCCAGGCACCTCGAGGCGGCCGATATTCCAGCGCTCGGCCATGGCGACCGCGCCGATGCACTGCTGGAGGAGCTGCGATCGCGAGGCGGCGACGCAGAGAAGATCGTCGAGGGCGGGAGGAAGGATATTTTCGTGGCATTGCTTCGATGCCACCGGCGGCTGATCTTCTTCACCGGATTGCTGGCGCTAGTAAGAACGCTGGCGATCTCTGCCGGCCCGATCTTTCTCTATCTCTTCGTCGATTCGATCGCGCGCCGAGATTTGAATCCATCCAACGGATTCCTCGTGATCCTGGGTCTCGTCGCGGTCAAAGCCACTCAATCCATCGCGCACAGGCACTGGAGCTTCCAATCGCGCCGCCTCGGCGTCAAGGCTCGCGCATCGGTGTGCGCCGCGGTCTACGACAAGATCCTCAAGATTTCCAGCAAGGCCAGGCAGCGCCATTCCGGCGGCGAGATCGTGAGCTACATGGGCGTGGATTCCTACCGCCTGGGCGAGTTCTCGTGGTGGATTCACTACTCTTGGGCCTGCATCCTCCAGCTCCTCATCGCCGTCTTGGTGCTCGTCAAGATCGCGAAGCTCGCGACACTGGCCACCCTCTTGGTGCTGCTCGTGACTTTCTTCGTCCAGATCCCAATCTCCCGGAATCTCCAGCTCGCGCAGACGAACCTCATGATCGCCCAGGACGAGCGCCTCCGCCGCACCGCCGAGGTTCTCAACAGCGTCAAGATCATCAAGCTCCAGGCGTGGGAGGAGGAATTCAAGAAGATGATCGATGCCTGCCGGGAGAGAGAGCTGCGCTGGACGAAATCCGTGCACGTAGGGAGGAGCAAAAGCGTCATGGTGTTTTGGCTCTCGTACGCGACGGCTCTCTCGCTCACGCTCATCGCTTACGTGTGGCTCGGCTACGAGCTCAACGCCGCTGCCATCTTTACCATCTTCTCGGCGTTTGCAAACACCCAGGAGCCCGTAAGGATCATCGCCGATGTTCTTACCACCGTGAGCCAGGCCATCGTCTCGATCAAGCGACTCCAAATCTTCTTCCAAGACGATGAGACCGGGGATGAGAGCACGTCGGTTGGCACGACCTGTGCCGCCGGGATGGATTCGGCAGTGAGGATCCGGATTCATGGGCCTGCCACCTTTGCCTGGGATTTCGATCATTCTTCTCCGAGTTCTCACTGTAAGAAAAGCCTCTCGAGTGTCAACTTGAGCATCAGGAGTGGACAAAAAGTCGCGGTTTGTGGGGCTGTCGGTTCTGGCAAGTCGTCGCTGCTGTGTGCAATGCTTGGGGAGATTCCCAAGATCACTGGAGAGGTACGTGGCTTCCATCTTTTTTATATGCTTTGATCTTTTGTCTTCATCGATCCAGGCAGAAGTCAATGGGACCGTTGCTTATGTTTCTCAAGTTGCATGGATCCAGAGTGGAACGATTCGAGACAATATACTGTTTGGAAAAACAATGGTGGAAGAAAGTTACTCCAAGGTGATCCGGGCTTGCGCACTGGAGAGGGATCTGGAGATGTTTCCTTTGGGTGACTTGACCGAGATTGGGGAGAGGGGACTGAACTTAAGTGGTGGACAAAAGCAGAGGATCCAGCTTGCTCGAGCAGTGTACAACGATGCTGATATCTACCTGCTGGACGATCCATTTAGTGCGGTGGATGCCCAGACAGCTGCGACATTATTTCATGTAAGTAGTATATGCCAAGATGAATGAGCTGCATCAATTGTCTTTATTTCTTTGGCAGGAGTGTGTGATGAAATCTCTGAGAAACAAGACTGTAGTACTGGTGACACATCAGGTCGAGTTCCTTCCAGCATTGGACGTGGTTGTGGTAAGTTCCGTTTAGTTCTTTCTTTACCGGTAAGTTTCCTTTCTTTGTATTCAAAAGGTGATGGAAGGTGGAACGATCGAGCAACTTGGTTCATACGAAGAGCTCCTCAACACTGGGCTAACACTGGAGAAGCTCGTGAACGCACACCACGACACACTAAGCAACGCTCTCAGCAAGAGCAGCGACGATGGCGGCAAGCGCACGGGTGTGACGAACACACCAGCAGACTCCAACGACGAGAGCACGAATCAAACACAAACTGCGCAGCTCACGGCGGACGAAGAGAAAGAATTCGGTGATCTCGGGTTGCAACCGTACAAAGACTACCTCTCGATTTCCAAAGGTCATGTCCTCTTCGGCTTTGATCTGCTGATGCAAGTCGGCCTGGTTGCTGGCCAGGTGACGGGAGGATTATGGCTGGCTTATCAGGTGATGAAGCCAGGCATTGATGGTCCTTACGTTGCGTATGGGTACACGATTATCGCCTATGTGACAAGCCTATTCTTGCTGGTACGATTGTTCGTGCACTTGGCACTCGGGCTCAAAGCTTCCAGATCGATCTACTCAGGCCTTATGACGTCGTTGTTTAGAGCTCCAATGTCTTTCTTCGACTCCACTCCAACAGGAAGGATTCTAACCCGGGTACGCAGTTATATTACATGTTTCTCGGCAATGTTTTTAGCTAACACTAGCTTTGCAGGCCTCGAGTGATATGTCGATAGTGGATGTCGACGTGTTCATGGTCGGACATATCCTTATTGCGTTTGTTTTCGATTTTCCAGGCGTCATGGTTGTTCTTGGGGTTGTTCTTTGGCCGTCGCTGTTCGTTGTCATTCCCATGTTGTGGGTGATTCTAAAGATCGAGGTAACCATTTGAAGAACTTCCTTCTAAAACTTAGAGTTCTGGTGATATGCTTTTCGAGCCCGACAACAGGCATTCTACCGAACTTCTGCTCAAGAGATGATGAGACTGAATGCAATGACCAAGTCTCCTATCCTCAACCTCTCTGGCGAAACCGTGAGAGGGGCTGTGACAATCCGAGCCTTTAGAATGAAGGAGCGGTTCATGCAGAGATCTATGGAGCTCATCAACAAAGACTCGTCAATCTACTTGCACACGAATGCCGCGATAGAGTGGCTCATTCTCAGAGTGGAGGCCTGCGGTTTGATTTTGCTTCTTGTCTTTGGAGTTGGCTTAAACTTGGATCCAAGCTTGACACCAGGTACATACGACGTAGGCTTTTTGTTTCTTCTTCCCATTTTTCTTACATTTTGTCTTCTCTCAGGATTGGCTGGAGTCGGACTTGCGTATGGACTGTTGATCAATGTCAGCCTTGTGTTTATGTCGCAGTGGTACTGTCAGATGGCGAGTCACATTGTTTCAGTGGAGAGAATCAAACAATATATGGACATCCCTGTGGAGCCTCCAGCAATTGTAGAGCACAACAGGCCACCAAAGACGTGGCCCAGCCATGGAGAAATCGTTTTCCAAAATTTGCAGGTCAGTATCGAGAGCCAAGTTTGATATTGATAGTTTGATTTGATTAACGTTTGATAGTTTTTTTTTTCTTGTTATAATAGATCAAGTACAGGCCGGATTTGCCTCTTGTTCTTCGAGGAATCAGCTGCAAAATGGAGGGAGGCAAGAGGATTGGCGTCGTCGGACGCACAGGAAGCGGGAAATCAACACTGATAAGTGCGATATTCCGGCTTGTTGATCCTGCTGGTGGTACCATTCTCATCGATGGTATCGACATTTGCTCGATTGGCCTTCACGATCTGAGGTCCAAGCTCGGAATCATCCCGCAGGAGCCGACGCTATTTCGTGGAACCATTCGAACAAATCTGGATCCTCTAGGAAAATACAGCGACCTCGACATCTGGGAGGTAAGAGGAAATTGTTCTTACCAGTTTTCACTTGGAGCTCATGTTTTTCATTGTGTTCTTGTGCTGTAGGCTCTGGAAAAGTGTCAGATGGCCAAGGAAATCCATAGCATGGCGAATCAGCTCGATTCATCGGGTATAGCGTTATATGTTTCCGATGTCTGATCAAACTTCTCGATCGTGTCCCGAGCAGTGAGCGACGAAGGTGGCAACTGGAGCGCTGGACAGAGGCAGCTCTTCTGCCTGGGACGAGTTCTTCTCAAGCGCACAAGAGTTCTCGTGCTGGACGAGGCCACCGCGTCCATCGATTCCTCCACGGACGCCGTGTTGCAAAGAGTGATACGTGAGGAATTCGCGACGTGCACCGTGGTCACCGTCGCTCACCGCATCCCGACCGTGATCGACTGCGACATGGTTCTCACTCTCCAAGACGGTAAGATCACCGCAATGAAGATCTCAGACTGATTGATTCCGTGAAACAGGGGTTCTCCTGGAATTCCAGCCGCCGGAGGTTCTTCTCCAGGATAGAAGCTCCGGTTTTGCGAAGCTCGTTGCCGAGTATTGGGCTCAACGATCCCACCGAAACTAAAGTTCTCCAAAACTTTAGCATTGATAGTTGCAAACTTCAACTCGTAAGTTTGCTATACGGCAAGATTCGAATCAAATCATCAAAAGGAACGATCAAACATAAATTAATCAATTCTATACAATGCCACCATCTCTATCACCGCAAAAGGTTGTCTTGGCGCGCTCTCGTCTTGGACTAGATCCATGATGACAAGAAGCTCGTAGAAACAGCACAGATGCAATGCCTAGATTCGCGAAATCATTCCCCTGGAACGCAGAGCTATCATCTCAACCAAAAGAGAAGCTATACGATCGTAGAAAACAAAGAAATCTTAATCTATTCAGAAGATTCCTCGTGTTTGATCGCAGGCGCTGTGCGCGCCCAGTAGCAGCAGTACTAGCTGCAGCAGCAGTCCCAGCGCAGTGCAAAGCGCCAAATAAGTGAGCACCAAAAAGCAGCCCAAAGAGAGAAAGATGGCAATTTTGCTGCTTTGATCTGGTACCAGGGCTCTAGCCGCGCAGGGCATGCTTGGCAAGGACTGCCTCGAGCGTGGCCAGCAGCAATGCCCAAGTACACAAAATTCTCCCCTCTCTGCAAAGAAGGAATTCCGTATGGTCTTCTTCCCATTATTTTACACTATCCTCCTCGCGCGCCCACGATCTCACAAGCTAAATCGAAGCTCGCAATCCATAATGCGTCAATCAAGCCCGGAGAAGCGCGCGCTCCAGGGAGAAAAGAAGTTTTCGACAAAGATCTGGCAGTCGCAGGGATAAGGAAGATAATCGTCGCCTTTGGCTGTGTGAGAATTTTGGGCCACGAGGCGTGTCCACCTGGCGGTGGTCCATAACTGACAATGCGAGGGCACGGAAAGGGCCGACAGGGCCCATGTGGCCGCCCAGATTCCGCCGGCCGTCGCCCGTTGGATCCACACGAATCCACGTCCCGGGAGTTTCGTACGGAAGAGTGATTGATGCATTATGATAGGCTTAAGTATCATATGGAATGCTTAGATTATTAAAACAGGAAGGACGATATAGCTATCATAGTATATTCATTGTGAGGAGGTCCACCATGGACGGACGTGGCATCTGGAGACTTTGCTACAGTTCCATCAGGTTTGTACTTGACTGTGTAAATCCATTTCGAGCTCACAAGGTGAGCACCTTTAGGTAAGGTTGTCTTTGTCATTGTATTGTTTCGCTCATGCGAATGCATTTCAGCATTCATGGCTTCTTGCCACTGGGCAGCATGAAGTCCAGTTAATGCCTCGTCAACATTCGCTGGAATGGGGATTCGTTCTGGATTAGCAGCCACGAAGTTAGCCTGGTGCATTCCTTTCTTTTTAAGTTTTCCAAAACTAAAGAAGGGACGAGATTGCTCAGCTTCCAGTTGCAGCCTCGATGGTACGGGAACTCGAGCAGAGCACCGTGGTTCAGGACGTGCTGGAGGGTGGATCACAGGTTGTGGAACAAGTGGAGAGTCTGGGAGAGCTCCCACTGAAGTTGGCGACCTGCTTCCAGCTCCCACTGAAGGTGATGATCCACGTCCAGCTCCCACTGAAGATGAGCCGAGGAAGAACTCAGGAGCAGCTTGAAATTTCTCGTCGCCCTCGAAGTAAGTGTTCATCAGCTCTACAGAGAAGCTAGGTGTTCTCACTGGAGGAAATTCTTGCAGAGGCGTAGCTGGAGGGTGTGGTGGCAGTGCTGGAAGAACCACCACGTTACCACCAGCTGGAGTTCCACGAAAGTAGGAGCAGGAACTTCAGCAGGATCCTTGTACAGCTTGCTCTCATCAAAGATCTTTCCAGCAACGTTTTGCGCTTGAGTGAATAAAGGCGATATCCTTTCATGTCTTCCAAATATCCCAGGAAAATGGATGGCTCAGCCTTTGACTCCAGCTTTCGGCGTTGCTTGTGTGGAACGTGTGCATAGGCGAAACAGCCAAAAATGCGGAGATGATCATAACCAGGTGCGTGATCAGTCCAAAGTTCATAAGGAGTGGTCTTCCCAAGCAGGGCACGTGTTGGCAACCGGTTCCGAACATAAACAGCCGTGTTAACTGCCTCTCCCCAGAAAGCAGCCGGCATTCCTGCGTGAAGCAGCATACAGCGTGCAGCTTCTATGATGGTGCGATTCACCCTCTCGGCAGCACCATTCTGGGCATGTGCACACGAACTAAACAGCTGTGTAGATTTTCTACCAAAGCCTTGTATTGGCTAAAACAGGAGAACACTTCTGACTTATGAGCCAGCAGGTACACGATCAGGTACCGCGTGTAATCATCCAGGAAGGTGACTACATAACGTTTGCCTCCCAAAGATTCAACCATAATCGAACAAACGTCCGAGTGTACGAACTCAAGAACAGAACTTGCTCTAGAATGAGAAATCTATGGGAAAGGAAAAACGTGGTGTTTTCCACCAACACAAGCTTCGCAGAAGGGCAGCGCGCTCCCAAGCACCACAGGAACATCCACCTTTTTTAGCTGTTGCTCGTTCACGTGACCAAGGTGCTGGTGCCAGGTTGCAAGTGTCGGTGGAGCCCGAGCCATCAGCGCCACAGGTGGAAGGATCACGTGAGCATCCAGGCGGTCGAGCGTATCAACTGGAAGTCCAAAAGCGACCTTGTCTCCAGTCTCGGCATCCAGCACGAACGCTCCCTGTGCTGTGAACAGAGTATCGAAGCCTACTTGAGCAGCAGTTCCAATCGACAGCAGCGTGTGTGTAAGTCCCGGAACATAAGACACAGGATAGATCTCCCGGATTTCTCCAGAAGAGAGCTGAACCCTGATTGTTCCTTTGCCTAGTACGTCGTGAGCAGAGGAGTCACCGAGTCCCACGGCGTCACTTTCACACGGTTCTTGGTAGTCAAAAAACAAGGAAGCCCATATGGAATGATCCAGCCACAGCTCTGGTCCGAGCACGGGCTGGTGGCTGCTGCTTGCAGAGCGAGCCATCAAGAGCTTACGAGGAGTCCCAGAGCCCTTGTCTTTGTTTCCTTTGTCTTTGTTCTTGGCAGCTTTAGCACGATCAGCTTTCTTCTTCTTGCAATCCCTCGCCAAGTGTCCAGGTTTGTACATGCCACGAAAACCAGTGTCGTTCGGCTGAGCTTGAGAGGACGAGGATGATCCTCCCGCAGCGCCAGCATAAAGCAAGGAAGATTTGGCTGAGGGCATCGCTTCTTTCTTCCCCTTCATCTTGCGTTCCTCTTCAATCAGGGTACCCACGACTTGATCAATGTGAGATAGAACAGATGCGAGCGTGCTAAACGGTTGCAAGCAGCAACGCCCTGGCGCGATCATCCGTGACAGGAGACCCAGCACCAGTCAATTCAGCCATTAGCCCTCGAATCCGTCCCACGTACACAGCAATGGTTTCACCCGTTTCGATGCGAAGCGCCAAGAATTGTTGATTCAGCAGCATGGAAGAATTTGCGGCTTGGGCCACGAAGATCGTGCGAAGCGACGTCCAGATTTCAGCAGCGGTCTTGGTGAGATCAATCAGCGGCAAGAATTCATCGCTCAATCCCAAGCCAATGACGGTGATGGCTTGCTGCTGATTGCGAAAATCCCAATCTCATTGTAGCGTTTGCTCAGCGGGACGAGGCTCAGTCCCATCAACGATGTTCCACACTCGTTTCGCAGAGAGGATCAGCCTGATTCTTGTCGCCCATGTGAAGAAATTCGTGCCACTGAATTTCTCCACCTTCTCTGTGGAAGCCACGAGAACTTGAGCAGCAACCGGTGGCGGCGGCGGCGACAGCGGCGGCGGCAGCAGCGGCGGTGGTGGTGGGGGCGGCGGAGATGGTGGTGGGGTTGAAGCGGCCATGACAGCAACGTCAAATCAACCAACCAGGATCGTCCCCGAAATCCATGTTGTGGTGTGAAAAGGGATGGACATAATACTCATGAGCTCGTTCATTGTGTTCGACTCTTTTTTACATGACTCATGACCACGTGGACATGCCACGTCAGCTGATCGATCTCGACAGATAACTACGCTTGCAAGCGTCTGATGCTCCTCTTTTGTCCAGACGGTCGTTCGGAAGTTCTCTCGTGCGTGATGCAGCTCCAAGAAGCAGGCTCTTCATCGTTGTTGCAGTCGCTCAAAACTCTACGATCGCATGTTGTGGGGATGAGCAAAGACAGTCTCTCAACTCCGTGGATCCAGCCTGTCGAAAAATTGGGAGTTTTGGTGAAAGAGGTGATAAAAGGAGCTCAGGTGCTGATGAAGACCATGGCTGACACGAAAGTAGAAATCCAGGGACTTGGCATGAAAGATGTGGTGATGAACCTTCTCCAGCAGATTGGACCTTATCGAGAGGAGGCTCGAACGGCGAGTTTGCAGATTTCTTCCACGGCCAACTTGTCCGGAGGCTCCGACTTTGCTGGTATCAAAGCTTTGCTCAAGGAAGCAGCGGCCTTTGATAGTGACAATGCTTTTGTCATGGCCAAAACATCGGTTCAAAATGGGTAGGGGTTTTTTAGCTAGGACTGGGATGCGGATGCTTACGGTTAATTC